ACTGCCTCGGAAATCCAAGGAGGGGTTGCTATGAGTCGGGGCCGACTCAATGGCACACAACAACAACAACAACAGGATGTGGGTCTTAGGAAATTTGTTGCTTTTCTTCATAAAACCAAACACTCATTCTCTAATGTTGTGAGTGGAGGGAAAATACCCATTTTGAGAGGTCAGAGGACTCGTAGCCTGACCTTGCCTCCAAGACTTACCTTCCCCCTAGTGATGACCTCCAATCCCAACACTGACACCACAGGGCAAGAAATCTCCTTACTCTCTTGTGAGATCTCAGTGCTCTAAGGCTGGCAGTAATAATAACAAAAAGAATGAGAAGAAGTAAGAGGAAGAATACCTGGACTTTATGGAGTACTTGCTGTGTGCTAGGCACTGAGTTAAGCCCATTACACACATTATCTCATTTAATCCTCACTGCAGCCTTCTGTCATAGTTTCTATTATTATCCTCATTTTACAGGTAAGAAAAATTAAGCCTTCAGGAAGTCAAGCACATTACCTGCAGTCACACAGACAGTAAATGATGGAGCCAGGACTGTGTCTCTGGCAGTCTGTCTAGCACCCCGCTAGTCTAGAGTAGAGAATGGGGATTGTGTGACTAAATCCTGCAGCATAGACCCTTCCTGCATGACTCTCCCTCAGGAGTCCCGCCACCTTCAAGAAAAGAGGGGAGATCCTGGACGGGGGCCCAGAGGACACAGCTGAGGGGCACTCGAGACATTGAGCTGCATTTCATATTCTTTCTGTAGCAAATCTCCCTAGTTTATTGTCATCTTCAAGTATCCTATTTTATTCTCATCCCTACAGATGGACAGATAAATATGCCCACTCTTATCTATCACAGTCACTTTGGAACCTTGATATTTTTGTAATTGAGTTTTTAAAACCCTGGTCTTATCTTTTTACAGCTCAGTGCCAGCAAATGGTATGGGCTAGAAGATGTGAGCACTTAAAACCCAATTTTGTTTTAAGGGGATTTACTGTGGTTGGTTGTTCAGACTCCCTGATTAGTCTGGTGGGTTTGCCATGCTGGAGGTTAAGGTTCTCATAAGCTAGCTTCATAGCAGCAAATGCTACCCTGCCTTGTCTCCAGAACATGTTTGAAGCAGAGCTCACCCACCAGGTTCCAGCATTAGAAGACTCAGTAGCCAAATTTTGTGAGATATAATTTCCTTTGCATAAAAATGAGACTCCTTTAATAAAAGGGTAATGTTTCCTATTTAACCTTCATGGATTCATTCCCCAGACATGCCTATGTGTGCCACTGTGTGCCAGGTGCTAAGCACAAGGGGTGAGCTAGTGAGCAAACAACAACACGATCCTTGTTTTTATCATCTAAAGCAGGGTTTCCCAACTCTGGCACTATTGATATTTTGGGCCGGATAATTCTTAACTAGTGAGGAGTCCTGATTACACGGTGGTTAAGCACTTGGCTGCTAATGGAAAGGTCAGCTGTTTGAACCCACTAGCCACTCTGTGGGAGAAAGATGTAACAGTCTGCTTCCATAAAGAGTGCAGTCTTGGAAACCCTATGGGGCAGTTCTACTCTGTCCTATAGGAGTGCTATGAATCAAAATTGAGTCAACAGCAACAAGTTTGCTTTGATTTAGGGGCCCTAATGGCACAACAGATAAGGACCCTGCTGCTAACCAAAAGACTGGCAGTTCAAACCCACCCAGTGACTTTGTGGGAGAAAGACTTGATGATCTGTTCTAGTAAGATTACAGCCAAGAAAACTCTACTGGGCAGTTCTATTCTGTTGCAGGGGTTGCTATGAGTTGGCATTGACTCAACAGCACCCAACAACAATTCGTAACTGTAGAGGCTGCCCTATGCATTGGAGGATGTTCACAACGTCCCAGGCCTCTACCCATCAAATGCCAGTACCACATCCCCATACCCAGTTGTGACAACCAAAACTATCTCCAGAAATTGCCAAATCCTCCTGGAGGGAGAGGGACAAAATCTCCCCCTGTTAAGAACCACTGCTCTAGAGAAAACACAGTCAATGATCAAACAATAAGACCCCAAAACCCACTGCCATTGAGTCAATTCTGACTCACAACAACCCTATATGGCAGAATAGAACTTCCCCCATAGGGTTTCCAAGACTGTAAATCTTTACAGAAGCAAACTGCCTCAGCTTTCTCCCATGGAGAGCTGGTGGGTTTGAACCACCAACCTTTTGTCAGCCAAATGCCTTAACCACTGCACCACGAGCCCTCAAAGAATGAGACAAGTGATGTATAATTTCAAACAGAGAACTATACTCTGACAAAGCAGGGTAGCATTTGCTGAGGTGTGAGAACACTGATCTAAAAAAAGCAATTGACAAAGAAATCAGATTCAGACTGGAACATCAGGGAATCGGGAAACTAAAACGAGAATCAATTCTCTCAAGTTACTATTCTGCAACCACACAGTGTTTTAATTTCTGGTTGTAGGAATTCATGATGGCATGCCAAGAGAGAATATTTACTTCTTTTTTATTTTAGTCTCAAAACAGCCTTTCCAACTCAGGGCCCATTCTAACCTTTGAGAAGCCCAGGAAAATGGATGCAGCCGAGGCTTTGGAGCTCAGTGAAAAGCTGGTATGTAAATGCCACATCCGTGCCCCTTCTGCCCAGAGCCTGGGTCTCCTGCAGCAGTGTTAATCACAGGGTAGTTTAACTAAACCTTATACACCTATTTTGTTGTTATAGTAGCTCTGCAGGACCCATCTACTATCCCTGCATGGGTCCAAAATGGCATAACCGCATTCCTTGAAAATTTGGGTAGTTAGAATAAATAGATGTTTATATTTGTTGATATTTTTTTCCTAGGTTCTCAAAAAGGAATAGTGTAAATGGCTTTGGGGAAAATTAGAGTCATAAAAACCTCACTTATACTCATTTCCAAAGCATTTGTTTGTTCTCTTCAACTGCAGAAGATGAATGCACTTGAATCAAACATTTGTTTCCTTAGCGTGGCCACCAGTAGTCCCTCTTATCTGTGCTCTTGCCTTGTAGTACATGGATATGAGCAAGACACTCGGGAGTCTGATGAACATCAAGGATATGTCAGGCCAGGTGTCCATGAAATACCTGTCCCCAAAAGAAAGGGAGAGAGTCAACCAGCTTCGACAAAGGGACCTTGATCTGGTATTTGATAAGATCACCCAACTCAAGAACCTGCTGGAGAGAAAAGAAGAGCTTCTGAGAAACTACGAGAAAGACATTGAACAGCTCAGGTATAGCCCCTTGCCCAGCAAATACCTAGGACTGTCACAGAGGACAGAAGGCTAGGGTGGCATAACTGAAATACTAGGGAGGGATGATGGTGACATAGTAGAGGCAGATCTCTCTGTGAGAACGTGGCCGTGGAAGCGTTCCGTTCTCTCCTTTCTGCATTCTTTCTTGATGCTCAGCCTTTTGTGAATCTCAACTTGTCTTTTACCATTTGTGGACTTCTCATAGTTTCATTGTATGTTTGTCACTGTCCATGACTCTTTCTCTGGGAAGATAACACTTTCATGCTAAACTTATTCCACTAGTTAGCTATTTATTCTGCCCTCTGCTCCTGATTTTTTGTTATTCTCTTCTGCTCCTAATGAAACCATAAAGTTAGGTGTATATGGAAGTATTTTGAGAGTCTCCCAGGTTTGGGATATTGATGAATGAGAAAGATGAGAGGAAAAGAGATTGTGTCTTTCTCATATGCCCAGGCAAAGCAAAGTGTCCGTTCAGATGTACCAGTCACAGGTGGCCAAGCTGGAGGATGAAATCTACAAAGAGGCAGAAGAAAAGGCCCTGCTGAAGGAGGCCCTGGAGCGCACAGAGCACCAGCTGTGCCAGGAGAAGAGGCTCAATAGGGCAATCAGGCAGCAGAAGGTGAGAGGCCCCTGCTTGGGGCAGAACCTCTGAGGCTGCCCCTCAGCTCCCATTAGAAATAGTCAAGTGTGGCCTCTGAAGGGCCAAATAATGTAGAATGCATTTACTGATGCAGTAGAAGGTGACAGGATAGCTTTAGTATCAGATGGACCTAGGTTTAGACTCTGGCTCTGTCACTTACTATGTGACCTTAGGCAGGTTTCTTAATCTCTCTGAGGCTTATACTATTCATCTGTATTATTTTCATGGTGCTATTATTCATATAGGAGCTCTGGTGGCACAGTGCCTAAGGCATTTGACTGATAACCAGAAACCTGGCGGTTTAAACCCACCAGCCACTCCTCGGAAGGAAGACTGGGCAATCTACTTCTGCCTCAGAATCCCAAGGAGAGGCTGCTATAGATTGGAACTGTTCACATAAGACCTCTGGTGGCATAGTGCCTAAGGCATTTGACTGCTAACCAGAAGGTTGGTGATTCAAACCCACCAGCTGTTCACAGAGCAATCTACTTCTGTAAAGATTTACCACCTCAGAAACCCAATGGGGGTCACTATGGGTCAGAATTGACTTGGTCACAGTGAGTTTGGGGTTTTTGAGTTTATTATTCATATACTTATTGTTCTGCCATGTGCCAGGGATACATAGGTGAGTAAATTTTCTGAGAATAGGGATTTGGATTCACTATTCTGAGTGCCTGGTACAATGTAGACACCAATAAATATTTGTTGAAGAGTGGATGGTAAATAAATGGATGGATGGATGGATGGAAGGTTGGATGGAAGGTTGGATTGATAGATGAGTGGATGGATGAGTAGATGGATCAAAGGATAGACAGGTGAATGGGATAGATGGATGGATGGATGAACAGGTGAATCAATAGATGGATAGGTGAGTGGGTGAATAGATGGATGCCCTTCAAGAACATATTCTTTAGTGGTGAATAGACAGGTAAAGAGCTGACTTCAGGCTAATTTAATGGGATAAGTGTTCTGGCAGAAAGATGCTTGGAGTTATATGAGTTACAGAAGGTCACTCATCTCAGCCCAAAGCAATTGGGAAGGTCTTCCCAAAGCAATGATACCTGCATCGAGTTTCAAAGGATAATTGATTGGAGTTTGCCCTCCAAAGGGATGGTCAGGTGAGCACTCCAGGTTGAAAGAAGCACAGAGGACAGAGGTCAGGATGAGAAACAGTCAGAGATGAGCATCCCGGCGTGGAGCTGGTGATATAGCATTGGCTGGAGAAACCAGGATTCCAGACTCAAGCTGCTGAGCCAGCCAAAAAGCCACCTCCAATGCCCACGCTGGTATCTCATCTGTCCCACAGCATGGGAGCCAGTCAGTCCTGGGTTCAAATCGCTGTGGGACCTTGCCCAAGTCTCTTTATCTCTTCTGGCATTTCTTTTCTCATCAGTAAATGGGAGCTAAGAGTGCCTGCTTTGCAAGGTTGTTTTGAGGATTAGATACAACACAGGTATTCCCTATTATGCAAACTCTCACTGTCTGAACTCAGGAGCCATATGGTTGCAGATGATGAGAGATGTCTGCACTGTTTCTAAAGCACCCTGTCCGGGGTCTGGTACTTGGAAGCTCCTCAGCCGGTGGATGCTTCTCTTCTCCCTGTTGCCAGTTGTCTGCACTCACAGGGTCTCAAGTGAGTTCTGACTCAGATCAAGCAAAGTCCCCTCCTGAAAAGGTCCCTCCACAGTTAGGCATGCAGGACCTGCACCCCATCAGCTTCAGAAGCTCCTGGCAGCCTTGTGCCTACAACACAGTCAGTAAAGGGGTTTTCTTTTCTGCTTTATTCATCCACTCCTGTAGTCAACAGGTATGTCTTTGGGCCTATTTAGTGACTTCTAAGTAGAATCAAAATCATTCCTTTTTCTTAACTCTTGCCTAAGGTGGAGCAGATCTCACAGCTAGGATCAGGCAAACAGGGGAAATAACTACTATCTCTCCTAACCACCTAGAGGCAGGCTCTGGACTCTATCCATACTTTGCAGCCATGATCAGTTCCTTATAATGGACCTGCCTAATTGGTACAATGATCTCTGAAGAACTGATTGATTTGCCCAGGTTCACACAAGAACCATTAGTACCAGTTGCCATTGAGTGGATTCCAACCCATGGCAACCCCATCTATATCAGAGTAGAACTGTGCTCCACGTGATGTCCAATGGCTGATATATTCAGAAGTAGATCACCAGGCCTTTCTTCTGAGGTGCACCTGAGTGGACTCAAACCTCCACACAGAAGCTGGTAAATGGTAGAGAGCTGGGCCCTGACCCCGTATCTCTCTGACTCTAGTTCCTGTTCCTCAGTTGCCCACCTTGTAATTGTTAATTGTTCTGACGTGGGGCTGTGTGTGTTTGTGCATGCATGCTTGTGTGTGCATGTGCATGAGTGACCTGTGTGTATGTGTGCATGGGAATGTGTACATATGTGTACATGTGTGTCAGAGTGTGTGAGTGTGCATGTACCTGTTTGAGTGTGGGTGTACATGTGTGTGCATGGGTGCGTGTTGCCTACATGAGCTCTAAAGAAGGCCAGGCTCCCACAGAAGGGTGCCCTCCCACAACCAGAGGCTCTGGTCACGTGAGTTCCTTGCAGAACCCTGCCCTCAATTGAGATGACAAGCTCCCTAGCTTCCAACCCCAGAAAGGAAAACACCATCCTGCTTTTGCAGGAGGCCTGGACATGCATTTCTAGTACTCACCGCTCTGAATTAAACATCACCGGCCTTCCTCTGCATGTGTCATGGGGCTGCTTCAGGCAGAGGATGGTTTCCTTTCACACTGTGCTGCTGCCAGCAAGAGCTGGAGCAGTAACAGAGGTCTAACTTCCCCTTTGATGTGACCTCTGCAGGGCCTACTCCTTCCATGCAACCCCCCAACGCTAGCTTGGCAAGCTAGCCCCCAAAGCACAGACACCAAACCACAGAACAGGGCAGCAAAGGGCCCCAAAAAAGCCCATTGTCGTGAGCTGGCTGAAGATGTAAGAAACCCGAGGATTTACATAATCAGGCTGCAGATGCATTATTCATGGGCTGCTTCGTTCCTACACAATGCAGGGGCCATGCCAGCCCGTTGGGCTCTAGGCATCCCTCAATGAGAGAAGGATCTGAAATGGTCACATTAAAACTGTCTCTGGGGTCCTCAGAAATACAAGCAGAGCAGGGCAATTTCAAACTTGCAGGATTAACGACTTGGGGAAGATTTGATAAGACTATGACCACATCCCAACAACGCTGATGGTGTCTGTTGAACGCTCACCCAACACGGCAGACACCTGCTCCTCTCTGCACACACACCCTCTGTCACAGCAGCCCTGAGAGATGCTGCTGAGCACCGGCCCACTTGAGAGATGAGAACACTGAGGCCGAGGGGGAGATCGGGTTACCTAGCCACTCAGCCACAGAAACGGGCTTCCCAGCCAGATCTCCGCCTCCCCAGGTTGCGTTCTCTCTGTTCCCTCATACTCCACTCACCATTGTCCTGGGGGTTTCATCCCATGGCTCAATTTTGCTTTTAAGACTGATTATTAATTTGTTGTCAGGAATTTCTGCTTGCCAGGAATACAGATAGACAGACAGATTGATGATAGATTTTACAGACTTTACAAGACTTTACAGTTTTGCATGATTCTAAAGGGAACGTATGTTTATCTATCTTATCAGTTCCTTGCTAGGAGTGTATTCTCACTTTTTAAATGGAAGTTAAAAAAAAAAGAGAGAGAGCTCTTTTTTTTTTTTTTTTTTTAAGCTTTCCACTTAAGTTTTACAAAGGCACTTTAAATTTTTCAGTCTTATAAAATTTTATCACTGTTCGCCCTTCATAAAGATGGGATGATGATTAAAATGAAATTACTCACCTTGAAGTTTTATTAAATCATGATAGGGCCTCAGAACCACCCCATCCTCCAGCAACTGATGCAGGTTCAATATTTGAACATCTTTTCACTAAGCAGAACTTTCCAGAATCAAAAGTCACGCTCCCGTAGTAATACATTTGGCAATGGAAATGAGGCTTGATATAAAATGTTGGGAAAATCTCCATGCTGTGCATTCACAGAGACCCTCATGGTCATTGGCCTCTTGACTCTGGAATATTCTAAGCCCATTCCTATCTCCATGTGACAGTGTGACAGTGACAATGGCCCAGGCTGTGTTCAGTCTGATGCACTTCCTACACCACTACATAAGGCAACAGTGTGTCTCAGAGTAAAGAGGCCGACTTAGGAATCAAACCAAATGAGATTTGAGCCTCTCCTCTGTCCCTGAATAGCCGTGAGTAAGCAACCTTATCTCGACCTTATCTCTCTGTGTCTCAAGTTCTTCCTACAACAACTACAAAAGGATAACAGGACCTACTTCATGGGGCAGTGGGGAAGCGTTAAATGACGTGATGTATGCAGTGCCTGGCAGGTAGTTACTCTGTTACTATGGGAAAGAGAAAAGGCAGCCCACGGATGGGTGGGAGTGGATCCTGTATTTCTTTCAGAGAGTTTCCTGCCAGCCGATGTGTTCAGCAAACCCTGAGAGCTTTTTCCTGGTCTTCCTACAGCCAGCAGTTCTTTCGTAAAACTCTTTTTTCTGTTTGGTGAATACAAGTAGCGCTATAGCCAAGAAAGAGCCCAGATGCTTTTTATGAATGGGTCAAGACTGGAACTTTCAATAGACCTTTAAACACAGAAGTTGCTATTTCAGAAGGATGCAGGCCCTTTCTTAGCCTTTACTCTGGTTCTGGCTGAGGGGGCAGCTCAACGCTCCTTCCAGGCTCCAGCCAATCCAACCCAGCCAGGGGTGTGGCCACAGCTTTGTCCTCGCAAGTTTGGCTGGGGCTGAGTCCCCTAGCTTTCCCTCTGCTTAATTACCTCCAATCTCTCATCTTCAAGACAAGAATTAAAATGGGGCCTAACTCATAGGGCTGGATTCAGTGGGAGCATGACTATAAAACCCTTAGCAGAGGAGCTGGAGAAAGGCTCACCTGAGTGCTGTTCCA